TTAAATACCAATTAGATTGCCGTTCCCAGTTGTATGTATGCCAACATGTTCTAATGGAATACTGAAAGTTAGAAATTTTAAGGTTTTATAAGGTTTTATACTTATGTGACTGGTCTAAGGACTGTAAATAAACTATTGATTGATTGATTGACAGTCCAGGCAGGACAGTACCAGGCAGTCCGAAGACTGTCTCCCGATCCACTCTCTAAACGCTGGGAGGAGTGAGGAAGCAGACAGGCACCCTTTTCACTGGCCAACACTTAACTGAAAGTTCACATTTTGCACGTTCCCTGCCTCCCACATGGTTTTTTTTCAGTTCTTAACTCAAATCTAAGTATGTAAGTCAAGTCAATATTTTCCTATGAGAGTGGTTCTTAAGTCAAAATGTTCTTAACTCAAGCCGTTCTTAAATCAAGACCCCACTGTATACCCCCCAAGCAGAGTTTTGGCTTTCATAGCTCACAAACATGCACCTACCAAGAGCTACGGAAGGTCTTCCTCCAAGACTTCGTAACATTCTCCAGCCTTTGTTTCTTTGTTAATTTAAAAAGAAAACAGAAACTGCCAAAATACTTCCTGGGGATCTTAGTTCTTTGGAAGGTACCCTTCATAAAGTCTAATGGGTAGTGAGACTATGACTCCCAGGAAGCACATGGCGCCTTATATATAAACGAAGGTACCCTTCATAAAGTCTAATGGGTAGTGGCACTATGACTCCCAGGAAGCACATGGTGCCTTATATATAAACAAGTGTGTGTTTGTGTGCTGAAACTCCCAGAATCCTGCTTGGAAAATTCTGAGACTCCGAAACCACAAAAATGTACAGACCTATCACTTTCTTCTCCCACTTTAATTTGCTCAGTCAAAACTTCTGAGTTGGGCATTCATAGATCGTGAATTCAGGGATTTCAGTGTCTCCAGTGTTTACAAATACCCACTTTTCAAAATATGATTTCAAGATGGCAGAAATTGCTGCAGTTGGAAATATTTGTTCACAGGCTGCAGTGCTCATGGGAGAAGGACAGAGAGGAAGCAACTGTAAGCAGTGTGTGCGCTGGTAGCTTGGTGGATTGGAAGGTGAAGCAGAATAGATCGGTGATGGCTTTTAGAAGGAAAGAAGGGAGGGAGGGAGGGAAAAAATGGCTAAAGGAAGGTAATTTGCAAGGAAAGAAGGGAGGGAGGAAGGGAGGAAGGGAAAAATGGCTAAAGGAAGGTAATTTGGCATTGTTTCAGACTGGAAGAAAACTGATGGATCAGGGTAAAAAACCCCAAGGATATTTGTATGGGGAGCTGCTCAAAATTCACCTCAGGTTCCAAATTTTAAAAAGAGGGTCAGATGACCTTGAAATGAGGACATCAAATTGTCTACAATACATTTGAAATAAAGTAGTCCTCTGCCTTGGGCAGAGATGGGGAAGGTGTTGCACTCCACATTTTGCTGGACTACAATTTCCATCATCCCTTGCCATTGGCTGATGGGAGCTGAAGTGTTAACATCTCCCATCCGGAGCCAGTGTGGGGTAGCTGGACTGAGCACTTCAGGGAGGTCTGCCGAGGATCACCAGATTCCTCCTTCAGGGAAAACCGGACCTTTGTCTGATAATATATGGGTGTGGGGTTGGGAAGTGCAGGGAGAGAGAGCATTGGCTCCAAGGAGTTAGGATTTTATACGCTGCGCAGGGCTGAAAGAACAAAAGGGTCAAAAGACAGGCTATGCCAGAGGAGGGCAGATTGAATTCCCTGCCTGACTTTAGGTTGAGAGGCGAGAAGAATGAAAGTGAAAGAAATTTACTGACTACAGTCCCTATCATCCCCACTAGTAGCAGTGGATTATAGGAATTGTAGTCTGTCACATAGTAGGCCCAGGAAGGCTGGAGTAGAATTTTAAAGGTCATTTGCCCTCTGCTGTAGTGAATTGGTGGTCATAAGTTTTTTGGGGACAGAAAACCTCCCGCCTTCTACTCAATAAAATATTATGCCTATTGATAATACAACAATCGTGCTTGAATTTGTGGTAACATTCTCTTTCTGCTACACAGAAGAAGTAGAGATCCACAGAAGATGATAGCTTCAGGTTTCCCTAGAGTCTATCTCTTTCTCATTCTCTGGCACTTAAAATCTCAATAACTCACTTTGAGAGATTTGGAGGAAAAAGAATAAAAAAATATTTATTTACTTTCAGTTGCTTGAAATTACAGACTTGTGTAAACAGTAGGACCCCCTTATCCATGGGATCAGTATCTACTGATTTACTTATCCATGGCCTGAAAATATTAAAAATCTTACAAGAAAAAAACACACCCAGAAAATGCAATTTTCACATTTATTACCAGAACCGACCATTAGAGGGATCCAGAAACCATGCTATGAATACATGTAAGTGAAGAATATACTGTATAGCATGGTCTCTAGCAGCCAGTTCTGGTAAGTCATGTGGACAGAAAACCTGCCGCTGTTTACTCAATAAAATATTATGCCTATTGATAATACAACAATCGTGCTTGAATTTGTGGTAAAATTCTCTTTTTGCTACACAGAAGAAGTAGATATCCACAGAAGATGATAGCTTCAGGTTTCCCTAGAGTCTATCTCTTTCTCATTCTCTGGCACTTAAAATCTCAATAACTCACTTTGAGAGATTTGGAGGAGAAAGAATAAAAAATATTTATTTACTTTCAGTTGCTTGAAATTACAGACTTGTGTAAACAGTAGGACCCCCCTTATCCATGGGATCAATATCTAATGATTCACTTATCCATGGCCTGAAAATATTAAAATTCTTACAAGAAAAAAAAAACCCAGAAAATGCAATTTTCACATTTATTACCAGAACCTACCATTAGAGGGAGCAGAAACCATGCTATGAATGCTTGTAAGTGAAGAATATATAGCATGGTCTCTAGCAGCCGGTTCTGGTAAGTCATGTGAAAATATATATATATTTCTTTTTTCCTTTATATATATCTCCAGTTTTCACCATCCACAGGGGGGTTGGATATGTTGGTCCTACTGTATAGCTTTCTTTATTGCACACGTACTACCAAGCAACCAAACAGATCAACAGCAAAAAACACAACTGATGAAAGAGGGATAGAACACTCAACAGAGATGCAAAACTGTTTGAATTTCAAAAGCTGGAAGGAATGATTGGCTAGTGCTGGATAGATAAGATAACCACCCCAACCCAGAGCAGTCCCTCCAGCTATAGATAGGGGTAGGAGGCTGTGAATAAAATCCCAACAAATCATTCTCATCTCAACTTTCCCCCAGGTTGCTTGAGAGGCCGGCGCACTCAAACCAAATGCTTCCTGGTCTTCAAGCACTTTGAGGTTTACGATGGGGCACAAAAGCTCTGTGAGGCCAGAGGGGGACATCTGGCCATGCCAGCGGATGCCACCGAGATGGCCGTCCTGCGCCGCTATCTTCACGATGCCTTTCATCCTTACAACTGGCCAGCCTGGGTCGGCATCCACGATCGGCGCGCAGAAGGGCTGTGGCTCTTTGAGAATGGGCACCGTGTCTCTGTCTTCGACTGGTACCGCGACCACCTGGTGACCCAGCCCAATGGTGGCGCTCGCGAGAACTGTGTCTCCCTCAGTTCAGATGATGGCAAATGGTGGGACAATGACTGTGAACGGCGCATGTATTACATCTGCGAATATCGTCTCTAGGGGTGCCCCCTTTTCAAGCTCTGCCATTGGATTGAGCATGACCGCGCTGGCGGTCTTCCACTGTCAGTGCTGTGGGGAGCTATGACCTCTGGGAGGCAGGGTCCTTCCCCATCTTCTGCATATGCATTATGTTCCTGTGTATATTCATTTCTTCCTTTAACCCACATCCCACCCCAGAGATGGGAAACCTATGGCCCTCCAGATGTTACTGGGCTGCAAAGTCCATCAGCCTTCGTGGAAACTCTTGGTCCATCTATCTGGTCCATCTATCCCAGTAATATCAGCTTGGCAGACAGCAACTCACCTTGTGATCACTGGTGGTCTCCCATCCAAATACTAAGCAGCCCTGAGCCTGCTTAGCTTCTGAAAAAAAGATAAGCTCCTTATATAGAGTAGCCAATGGAAACTGCAGTCTAACAATACATGGAAGGTCACACATTCCCCATTTCTGCTCTGTCCTTAGGCGTGCATATACGTAACTGCTGATCACCCTATAGTATCCTCTTACTTACAGGGACGGGGATCTTGCAGACCTCCAGCTGTTGTTGGTCTCCATCTTCCATCATCCCTAGCTAATACAGAATTATGGGACTAACACCTAGCAGCCTGCAGATTCCCCATCCACTCCTTAAACTAAATTTAACATGAATCTTGTTTTCCTAGGTTCAAATGTAATAATAAGAATTAATTGAATTAAAAATGGGACTGTTTCTGAACTCCCCACTTGCAGCTGTGCTGGAACAGAGGCTAGGGAGCAGAAAGGTTAGGGGGTTTAGCATTGTGTATGATCCAGTCAGACCTTAGGAAATTAGAACTGCAACTCCCAGCAAACCAAGCAAGCATAGCCTCTGGTATACATGACCGGAACTCTAGTTTAGCAACATCTGGAGGGCCAATAGGTTCTGAGGCATCCCACTTGTTTAAGAGCTGGCCACAGGAATAAATTCTGTCTTGCCCTTCCTCACTCAAGCATTTGTGTCCATGGTTTATAAACCAAGAGCACTTCAGTTCCATTAAGGTTTTGTTTTTTTCTGATGGATGGTGATGTAATCTAGCACAAAATTTAGCAGGATCTCTTTGGACAATCCAAAGTGGTGACATGTTCATATGATTTCAAAGATACAAACAACAACCACAGCAGTTGCTGAATGGGAGGGGACCAGTTTATCTCATTGCACATTGGGTTATGTGAAGTTGGGGAATCCATTTTTCTAGGGATATGGGAACGCCACTCCCCGTCTCTACTCTAAGGGCCAAACTGACTTTCATTAAATGGCTCATGATAGTGTGTTGTGTTGTTGGGAGGAAACCCCAAGCTTATTGAAACTGGTGGGAAGGAGGGTTGTAACCCTTTGCTCTTATGTGGCTCAAAGGAACCCCCTGCCCACTTACAAATATTTGTAAGAATTTTCCCAAGGGTGATTTGATTTTCCCAAATCAAAATTTCCCAATGGAATTCTCCCTTATTCAGTCAGGGAGCAGAGAAAAGGGTCAAAACCCAACATTCTTTATGCCAGGATTCTGGATCCTCCACCCTAGGCCAGCTCTTCAGTCACACAGGCCTAAACCAACTGACAGAAAATGTCTAGTTTTGCTTTTATATATATGGACTTAAATTAGTGGAAGAAGCATCAGTAACACAGATTACACTGCCTTACTGACAGAAAGCAGCAATGAAGTTGTAACTACTTGAAGCAAAAGAAGAAAGTGAAAAAGCATGACAGCAATTGAAGACAAAAATCATGATTACAGAAGAACTACACAAGAACAACACTGTGTCGACAATGAAGAAATTGAAATAGGCAGAAATTTCATATACCTTGGTTCAGTCATCAATTCAAATAGAGACTGAAGCCAAGAAATCAGAAGACTGAGACTTGGAAGGATATTAACGAAGGAATTAGAAAATATCATTAAGTGTAAGGATGTGTCACTGGAGACCAAGACCAAGATCATTCACACTCTTGTATTCCCAGTCACCATGTATGAATGTGAAAGAGGGACAGGAAAGAAAGCTGGACAGGAAAAAAAAAGAAATGTGCTGGAAGAGAGATTTCCAGATACCTTGGACTGCCATAGAGATTCCCAATCATCATGTATGGATGTGAAAGAGGGACAGTAAAGAAAGCTGGACAGGGAAAAAAAAAAGAAATATGGTGCTGGAAGAGAGATTTCAAGATACCTTGGACTGCCATAGATATGAAGCAAAGCAAGTGGGTCCTAGAGCAAATCAAGCCTGAAGTATCTATGGAGGCAAAAATAATGAGGTTGTTTTACTTTAGGCACATCATGAAAAGGCAAGATTCTCTGTAATAGACAATAATGTTGGGAAAGGTTGAAGAGAGCAGGAGAAGAGGAAGACCCAATGTAAGAAGAATTGACTCCCTACAACAAGGCACAGACTTGAGTTTATAAAAGCTTAGCAGGGCTGTTGAGGACAGGACCTTTAGATCACTCATTTATGTATAGGATCACCATAGGTTGGGAGTGATCTATGATCAGATTTGTGACACATGCATGTCCCCCCCCCATGTTTAATTTCTGTCAACAGTGGTGGGGTTCAAATTTCAATCAGAAGAGAAGCACACACATTAGTAGAGACTTTACTTTCTCTGAAGGGACGTGGTGGTGTGGGGTTCAAATTTCAATCAGAAGAGAAGCACACACATTGGTAGAGACTTTACTTTCTCTGAATTAAATTTTGGACGATCCCATCTCATATCCTTCCATGATGAGAAAGCACTGAATTTCAAGATTTAAAAAATGTACAATACTGTATTAATGTAGTTATGTTAGTAATGTGCAATGACCACAGATAACAAATAAACCAAATAAGTATGCCCCAGAATAAAACCTGGTACCCCTGAAAGGATGCATCTGTACACCTACAGGTCTTCGGACAAAACGCTGGCTCTATGGCTTGGAAACGGGGATGAGCACCGCCCCCTAGAGTCGAACACGACTGGACAAAAATTGTCAAGGGGAACCTTTACCTTTACCTTACTTTCTCTGAATTAAATTTTGAACGATCCCATCTCATATACTTCCATGATGAGAAAGCACTGAATTTCAAGATTTAAAAAATGTACATTACTGTATTAATGTAGTTATGTTAGTAATATGCAATGACCACAGATAACAAATGAACGAAATAAGTATGCCCCAGAATAAAACCTGGTGCCCCTGAAAGGCTGCATCTGTACACCTAGGAGGGTATCTCTGATGTGCTGTATGGTCTGGCCAGGCTAAACCCTTTGTACACGTAGGGCTCTGTCAAACACACCAGTCCATACTCACTTTAGGAGAAATAGCCACAAGAAATAAGGAAACTACCTCCACCCCACCCCCATGATAAGCTATGGTCCAAACCAAATTATACACCTTTGTATGCAGGTGTATACTTTTGAGATGCCACAGGGTGTTCTGGTCTGTGCCAAAGCTTTTTAAGGTGTGATATATTCAAAGCTTTATTCAGGGTGGTGGAGAATGTAAACAGGTATTTTTTTCAGCTGAAATGTTCAGCTTTTCTCCCCATGATTTGAGCAAATAAGGAACTGGGAATAAGGAAACCGTTTCAGCATTTTATGAGTTGGCTGGGAATTAACACATATGGTTAATACAATCACAGATGTGCCATTTCATGTGTCCCACCCATAAGATGAAATGAAACAGAGGATTTAACGATATTTTCTTTTACCGTAACTTAGGGACTCTCTTAGAAATCCATAATGGGGAAAAATAATTGACTTGCTTTTCCTTAAGAGGATATGGATTAAACCAAACCAAACTCTAGATGCCAGAGCATCCCCCCAAAGAAGTGAAATGTAGAAAGAATATGCTTGTTACTCCTCCTTATTTTGAGAGAAACACTCATTTTAGGGATAAACTTTTTCTCCCTGTTGTTTTTGTATTCTTTCGCCACTCTTAATGTTCTTCTCTCTCCCAGAGACAAAGCTGGTCCTAGCATAAGATGAAGGATCGCAGGCTTAAGTGCCCTCTGTTACCATCCATGATAGGGCACCTTGATCTTTCCTTCTGACACTGTTAAATAAAGATGAGCCACAGGACTCCCAAAATCTGATTCCTTATCATAAGTGCTCCCATCCTGCACTTGGGGACCGGAAGGTCCTGCCTGCTAGAAAATTCTTTATCAGATAGGGTGTGGGGTGGTGGGTTAAAAAGATAGAGGCTAAGATTGGCTGGAGAGCTCAGTGAGTTAGGCATCTGGTTGCAGAGCCAGAGGTTGGGAATTCAGTTCTCCACTATGTATCCCAGCCTGTGTAGCTTTGGGCAAGCTGCACAGACACAGAGTGCCTCCAGAAGAAAGGAATGGTGAGCCACCAGCGAGTCCTGTTTACTTAGTAAACCCCGGAGAAGGTTGCAGGAAGTCAGAAATGACTGGATGGCACACAATGATTATTGCTAAGAATTCTTAAGGAATCATACAGTAGACACACCAGAAGTCATTCGAGGGAAATAACATGGGATGGCGACAGAATTGAACCACAGCATCAAAGGGGACATATAGTGCAGTGTGGTGGAATTCCTATCTTGTGTGTGTATGAGCTGCACTGGGGTGCCCACTTCATACGGCAGGGATGGATAGGTTTCAAGGCAGTTGGATCTGTGTTGCGTGCAAGAAACCCAAGATTAATCAAGCAAAGCCAGATGCAAAAGACATGCATTGAGAACTAAAGAAAGTGACTTTGTGTGTATTTCCAGCCCATGAGTTGTTTCCCACTCCTTTCACGTAGAAGTCCATTCCCAGCTACCCAAGTTTTCCTCATTTTGACAATATAATTTAGTGGCTGCAAAATAATTTCGTTGCTGCTGTTGATTAACAACGGGAAGTCAGAAACCTTTGCCGTTCTCTTGCAAAATCCCCAGAGTTCTAACAGCAGATTTGGTTTTCCCGGCTCTGTCCCAGTGTATTAACTTTCTGTTACTGTTTTGGGGTGAACCTTGCCTTGCCCCACAACTGCCATACCCCCCCAGCTCATTTTCTCCCCACCCTCATTTAATAAAACCAAAAACAGTTTGCTAAAATAAAGCATCTTTTATTTCCTTGTTGAAACATGGATTATGGACTTTAAATAAAAAAAATCAAACAAAACTTGTTACGATGTGGAGAGGGGAGAGGCAGGGTCCTTCCCTGCTGTCATTCGTCCCCCTCCCCTCCCTCTGAAAAATGGGTGGGTGGGATGGTAGCAATGATAATTTTTCTCTTCCCATTCTCAGCTTTGCTCTTTCATATTTTACACCTTGAACAGTTTCCTAGACATGCAAATATGGGGGGGGGCTGGCAGGACAAGGGATATGCATATGGGGGTGAAGGAGAAAAAGGAAAAGGGCAGAGAAATAGATGGAAGTGGAAACATTTACAACTTTCTTTGGTTTAAGGTCAGTTTACTGCTCCAGAATAGAGGAAGATCTGCCAGAGGATATCACTGGTTTCAGAGAAGGTCGGGGGTTTGTATTCTCAGCAGTTTTTCTTGTTCTTAATCTGTTACTTGGACTTGGGGGAGCAGGAATAAAAACAGACAGATGTACAGAATTCACAGAGTGCACCTGGATGGCTCAGTGGCTTCCTTTTTTGAAAAAAAATATCAGCTCTTGAAGGCAAGAAACGTAGGTTTGATCTATGTGTCTTTCACTTACAGTACATCCCTCAACTGCTGCTTGCCATTCGAAACCATTCAAACCCTCCCTCTTGAACTGCAGATAACTTGCACGGCTGCTCATTTTTAAGAGGGGAGGAGGAGGAACCAAACCACAGCACAAACCCCACCTCTCTGTAACACAGAGGAAAATTACTATGCAAAGCACTTGGCTTGGTCTGGTCAATTCCCCCCCCTTCTGCCCCCTTGAAGTTGAGCTAATGCTGCCTTCAGCACATGCATACACTATACAGTTTTCTGCCTGTAGTTGTACTACAGAGTTTCTTTTCCATCATTCAGAGTTGCACCTGTCCTCCCCCATACATGGAATATTCCAATTTGCTGCTGTTTCTCCGCCTTGCACATAGGCTACTTCTGTTCTCAAGTGTCCCCTCTCTCTTTTTTTATGGGTCCATTCCTGTACTTGGCATGAATGAACCTATAAATGACAGGAGAACTGTAGCATATATTAGATGTACAGTATAGGTTATCCACCTCTATTTCCTAGCATTCACAAATATTATTCAGGTTTTCCATCCCTTCTATGTATTCTTCATGCACACAATTTATCTTGGTCTCCTCTGCAGCAGAAAATGGAGTATCTCTCATTTCTAACATGGCTGTTACTTGTCACCGCTGTACTTTATTTTTTTAGGCTATTATGACATGTGGACACTCTCCCCACAAATGGTTTGTTCTCTTTTCGAACCCCATGTCATACACAGATCATGACTCTCCTTCTGGGAAGCAATTCAGGACTTGGAAGTTATTTTTGGGGACATTTCCCAGAATGCCCCAGCTACAGTAACCACTGTGGCTGAAGAATTCTGGGAGAAATGTCATAAAAAAGGGAAGCAGTTATTTCCCTGAAGTCCACTAGAGGGAGACCAGAGGGGGACAGCGTGGCTATAATGTTCCTTCCAATACTTTGAGGAGGAGGAGCTAGGATTCTGCTGACAGACAAGAGGCCAAGACCCCCTCCAAACAACTCCTTTCATACAAAAATTCTTAATCTTTGGTCTTAGTTTTTTAGACTCCAACTCCTAGATTTTTTTCACTACTGGCCATGCTGCCTAGGGCTTCTGGGAGCTGAAGTCCTAAACCTCTCCAGGCCACAGACTGAACCATTGACCTAATACAGCATCGCTCGGTTGCCATGGAGGAAGACCAGCATGTCAACATGTTCTGGTGTCAAGGCTTGGCGCTTTGTGCGGATGGCATCCCCAGCATTGCTGAAGAGCCAGCTAGCGGGCACTGAGGTGGCAGGCACACCCAGTAGCTTGCGGGCTGCCCGTGCCAGTAATGGGTACTGGGCATGGTGAGTTTTCCACCATTGCAAAGGGTCTTGGCTAAGGGCAGAGGCCTTGCTGGATTGGAAGCTGGCTGTCTCTTGCTCGGCCTGATGATGCACTGAGCCGATGCCTGAGGCACCGCTCAGGCTGCATAGGTCCCCCAGGAGGAATTCAATGCCAGGGTCTTGCTTTGGTAGTTTGGCAGGGGGTGAGGAGGAAGCCACATTAGGCAGGCTGGAGGTCAACGCCATTGGGGCCTCGGCCAGGCGTGAAGCTTCCGCCCCAAGCAAGCGTAAGGTCTCTACTCGGTTGGACTGGCTCAGGAAATCCAGGCCTCGGAAGCGAGGGTCCAGAGCACAGGCCAGGTTGAGGGCCTGGTTGACATCTGAACTAGAGAACTGTCGACTCAGCTCCTTCTGGGCGGCTGCTTTGGCTTCACGAGCCAAGGTGGAGTCCCTTTCACTGGCCACCAGATGCTTGTAAAGTAGGCTTGTGAGCATAGGTTTGACTAAAGACAGGCTGGAAAAGGGCTCTTTGGTAAACGTTGAGGTAGCAATGGCCATAGGCTTGAGGACTTTGACCATATCCTGAAGGGCGGCCCAGTCCTGGGGTCGCAGAGTCACCTCCCCATCTGGCCTGAGCCCTGACAGAGCCTCACGGTGCTCTAGCAGCCTCTGCAGGAGTCCATAGATGCTGTGCCATTTGCCTCCATCTTGCAGGAAGCAGCCCAGGTGAGCTTGCAGGAGGGGCTCCTGGCTCCACAGTTTCTCACCCCGGCCTGCCCCAGCCAGCACCCAAGACGCCAAGCGGTGGAGCCGTTCCAAGGCACTCTGGGCCGCTGGCTGGCTGAGCACGGCCTCCATGGCTGCCTGCAAGGCGTGCCCGATGCAAGGCAAGGCCGTCCAGCCAAGCACCCCGGCGGCTTGCTGGAAGGTGGCTCGGAGGCCCCCGACGGCATAGGAGGTGCTGTCCTGCACCCCCCATTCCTTGCTGGCCTCGGTAAGTGCCTCCACCAGGCTTTCCGCACTGGGCTCCTCAGGGACTGGGCAGCTGGAGAGGACACGAGCCTGAGCTTCAAAGCACTCGTCCACGTAGTGCGCGGTGAGTGTGAGGTAGGTGAGGGTGTTGCTGTGCCGCCATATGTCCAAACTGAGGGAGCACTGGGCCACAGCTTGAGTCAGTTCCAAGATTTTCCTCTTTGCTTGGTTGTACATGTCCTTCAGCACTGTGTGGGCCAAGGAGGCAGCATTTGGGGGCTTGTAGTTGGGATCCAGGACTCCCAGCATCTGCCCAAACCCTTCCCCTTCCACCACCTCTACCGGCATGAGGTCCAGGATGATGAAGTCAGCCACAGCCCGCGTGGTCCTGCTGGGGGCCGGAGGGCGGGTAGCGCCAAACTCCCCCGCCCCCGATGTGATCCCTTTGTCGAGGACGGCCGTGGGTGTCCCCACCAGCTGGTTGTATTCCCCACGGTGCTTGTAGATGAGGTGCTGCCGCAGGTTAGTGGTGTTGCCGCTGTAGCTCAGCCGGACCCCACACAGCTTGCAAATAATCTTGCTCTTGTCCAGGATGCGGCCGTAAGCATCCCCTTGGAAGCCAAAGAAAGTCCAGTAGCGGCTTTGAGCCCTTCCCAAGCCCACCAGGTTTTGCATCCCTTCCAGGAGGGGGAAAGTGCTTCCTCCTGGGGGAGGAAGCCCTGACTTGTGGAGGGGCGGGAGGGATGAAGCGGTGGAGTCTCCACAGAGGTACTGCGTGCGGGAGGAAGGGGCGTGAGGAGCGAGAGGCGAGGACGGCGCCTTGACATGCAAGTCTTGAAAAAGCTTCATCAGCAGCTCCTTCTCGCCAAATTCGTATTTAAAATGCTCCCCTGGAAGGAAAGAGAGAGCAATAAAAGTGTCAAAGCCCTCTCATTTCTTTCAAGAAGCAGGAAATGCAAATTCCAAGTACATTCCATTTTCTTTTTTCTTTCAGGGAGATGGTCACTGTAGCATATCAGGCCACCCACCCTGCCAATCCTGCAAATGGCTCTTAGGCAAAGATATGAAGGGTACAGTTTTATCAATCAATGTCTGTCATGAGGCTCCCCATGGCCAAATTTTCCATTGAACAGCAACCAAAATTTGAGGCCTCCTTGAGCTACGGCTGAGGCCAAATTGCCCCCATTAGACACCAACATCATACTGCAAGTGCAGTTCCTCTCCTAGAGCTTAGGGAAATAACTTTTTAAAACTACAACTTCCACAATCCCCCAGTCAGCCTAGCTAGGGGACTGTGGGAACTGTAGTCCTTAAAATTACATTCCCATGCTCTGGCCGTTCTTCAAACTTTGTGAAGCACATTTTGCCTCCCCTCTTTTCCCTACCCAAGCGCAGTCCCAGGGTACAGGCATACTCTTCTCCTATCCACACCAGTAGCTCTGTATTGGCAGCTATCGTTTGGCAGACCCGGTAATAGATGTGCCCTCGATACTGGAAGACAGTCAGGTTTTGCTCATCCTCAGTAGAGGCACATGCCACGTATCTGTAGGGAGAAAAGTGGGATGAGTCAACTTTAGCATTTGGGGCCTGCATCATGTTTTCCTTGATGCCCCAAGTGGTATAACACTGGGTGTGTCTCAAGGGAATGTCAACCTTCACCTGTTATCCATATGAAGCCTTCAAAAGCATCTACCTATCTGTAACAAAATAGCCGGCTGGATCTGGCTCCAGGGCCAGCGGTTGGGAGTTTGAATTCCCATTGTGCCACCTGTAAGTAGAGCCAGCCTTTGTGGCCTTGGGGAAGTTTCACAGTCCCAAGATGCTACCAGAAGAGAATAGCAAACCACTTCTCCACCTGGAAAATTCTGAACATGGGTCACCATAAGTCAACTGACTTGATGGCACATGGATGATTTTTATATTATGACAAGATAAGGGACTTCTGGGGGAGTAACTCCAGCATATTATGATGGCTCAAAAGTACATCTGATTGTAGTTATTGGGGGATGGCGGGAGGCAATTCAGTGATTTAGGCCTCTGGCTGTGGAGCTAGAGATTGGGAGTTCAATTCCCCACTTTGCCTCCTTGAGAGGGGCTGGATTCAATGGTCCATTGGGTCCCTTCCAGCTCTGCAGTTCAAAGGTTATTATTATGTTCCTCTTCCCACTTCAGCTGGTCCTCTCTTCTAAGATGCTCACCTCATCCAGTTGGCTTTGGAATCGTCTGATGCATCGATAAAGAAATAGGAGCCATTCTCCCGCACCTGAAAAAGAGATGGAACAATCGGAGTTGGGAAAGATACCCCCAAACTCCATCCTCAACAACAACAACAAAAAGGAGTCTTGTCTTTGAATTTGCCCAACCTGACAGATGCTCCCTTGGAATAGGGTTGGGCAGAAGGCAGAGTCAGGGGCAAAAAAATGAATTCTAGTGTTCTTCAAAGTAAATGTCATAGTCTATGTGGGGAATGTGTTGAGGCCTGCAGTTGCAGGTTACCCCTAAATATCTGAGACCCAAGTGGCTTTCAGAAAGGCTGTAGAGAAGCCAGAGACAACCAAGACAAGAAAGAGTCTCAACTGGGAAGGAAGCGCCACCTACAGTGAATCTGATAAACTCCATATATCTTAAGGTACACGGGTGCATATGTCAGGCTGACAGGACACAATTCTTTTTTCTCTACTTGATCCCCAAGGTCCACCATTTTGAGCCAGGAGCAAGACAGTAGCCCAGAGAGGGGAAACAGAAATGGATCTAAAATGGTGTCTCAAGGGGCGGAGCCAATTACAACACCTCCTGAACTATATATATGCATTAGGGACAGGTTAAGGCTCCCAGCTGCCAGAGGCCTTTGGGACAGGGCAAGGCAAACAATCTTTTATTATTGCTATCATTCACCTCCTGAAAAATCTTAATTCTGATTAACCATTGACCAGTAGATCCCATTATGTAAGTTAGATTCCTTTCGGTTTTCTGCTCATTCGTGTCATACCAGCCTCCTCAAACTTACATCTTCTTGATGTACTGAACTGCAGCTTCCATAATCGGTGGTCACAGGTGATGGGATTTGTAATCCAGCACATTTCAAAGGTGCCAATTGGGGGGATGGCTGTTTTGAACCTATCAGTTACTAAGCAACAGGCGAGCATTAGAATCTCATTTGTAATCTACAGTCCCTCCTGTCCTCCTTCAAGATTGTGCTTCTGCGACAGGGAGGTGACATCTAATAGTATTCAGAATCCAAAGTTTTGTATCAGGGAAATGCAGCAGGCTTTCCCCTGCTGCTCAGAGTATATTTGTTGCCACTGTGATCACTGTGTGGAAAAATGGCTGCTGGGCCCTTGCAGATACACGGAGTGACCTGTTAATGGCAAGCAATCCATTTCTTTACCCCATGCTGCTATCCCATTTTAATTTTAATTTTTAAAAAGACAACTTCTGAGCAGGGAGCATTCATCATTTTTGCATAACAAACACCAGTAGGGCTGCTATCATGTAAATCATTTACTCAGATTAACTTTTTTTATTTTATATATATAATTTATAACCACACACACACACACACACAGACCCCCCCTCTCTGGAATGTTCTTCTTTCTTCTTCTATTTTGGGATTGCCAAACCCGTGCACACTAAAACAGAGAAAAACTGGGGTGGGAGATTTTGTGATGAATCAAACAGCTGAACATGACAGCGTGATGTAGTGATTTCGTCTGCCAGCCTCTAGTTGGAAAGCTCCAGGGTCAAATCCTTGCTCAGGAAAAAAAAAGATTACTGAATAACTTTGGGTCTCCCAGGTTTTTTTTTTCCAGCCCAACCTATGATGCTTCCATGCAGAGGACTTTTAAAGCTGTTCATCAAAAGGTATTATGCAACGATTGTGTCTCTCCCTCCCTTAATGGATTTTTAAACGGAAACAGAAAGAATGCTGAAAGAAGTGATGGGAAGAGATCTAACATACATAGGTATTATTATATTTGAACATGAACTTCAATGACAATGCACTTGAAACATGGTACGAGGCATGAGTAAGGAGCTGTGCTATAACAGGAACAATGCTCTCAGGATTAAAGCCTCAGGACTTTCTGGAGTGCAGAGACTATGTTGTTATCTGAGCTGTGCTAGAAATAGACCTTCGAAGTACCACTACACAATTGAAAGCTTCCTCCCTCCCTCCCTTCCAAATAGTTTTACGCTGCCTTTCTCCTTAAAAAGACCCAAGGCGGTTGACATCATTAAAAGACTCCCTCCCTCCCTCCCTCCCTCCCTTTCAAATAGTTTTACGTTGCTTTTCTCCTTAAAAAGACCTAAGGGGGTTTACATCATTAAAAGACAATACCGTGTTTCCCCGAAAATAAGACAGGGTCTTATATTAATTTTTGCTCCAAAAATGCATTGGGGCTTATTTTCAGGGGATGTTTTATTTTACATCCATGCGCTTCAGGGGATGTTTTATTTTACATCCATGCACTCTTCTTCTGATTGCTGCCCAATGCCGCCCAATGGTCGAGGGCAGAGTTTCACTAAACTAGGACTTATTTTTGGGGTGGGGCTTATATTACGAGCATCCTGAAAAATCATACTAGGGCTTATTTTCAGGTTAGGTCTTATGTTCGGGGAAACAGGGTATTTAAAAGCTAAAAACAGGAAGGATACAAATCTTTAAGAGAATCAAACAAGCACCACACTGAAAATGGTAATCAGAATCAACACCAAAACCAGATTCAAAGCAACAAGGCACAACACTTCATTTAAAAACCCCTCTCGGATAGCCAATCGCTAAGGGAAAGCTTGCCTAAAGAAAAAGGGCTTCTTTTGCTTTGATGTCATGTAAAGTATCAGAAGGTTGTTTGGTTTTCAGTAGCAATCCAGAACTATTAACATTTTTTTATTTGCTGGTATGCCTAGCCGCTTGTTTGTGTGTGAGGGAGGCTGGCCATGACAAACGTTAGGATAAACACCTGCATTTCTAAATTTCCCACTACAGCAGTAGTGATTAACTCTCTCTCTCTCTCTCTCTCTCTGTGTGTGTGTGTGTGAAGAATCACACACTTGTGTGTGTGTGTGTGTGTGCGCGTGTGAAGAATCACACACGCAGGCACAATTTGCTATTGATGGGGGATCCCATGCCAGGATTGGGCAGGGACCTAACAAAACTAAGCACTCTGAACGTCTTCCCTTTTTTCTTTTGGATACCCACTTCCCACTCAGAGTTCTTGGAAGTACCTGCTTTGCTCCTTCCCTTTTTTCTTTTGGATACCCACTTCTCTCTCAGAGCTCTTGGAAGAAGTACCCGCTTTGCTCTGCTACCTTCACAATCCTGTAGCCAGCCTTGGCACGCTGGCCAAAATCTTGCTAGTTATGCCCCCCCCCACAACTGTAATGCAAACAACGTAACTTTTAGAACCAAACTTCCACAAGTTTAGAAGTCAGCATAGGCATTACCTATTGTGCACCAAGTCACAGGATTCAGAAAAGAAATCTATGTTGACTTCTTAACTTATAGCATTTTGTTGCCAAAAGTTATACTGTTCACATTATGCTGGTGTAAAATGGCAAGCAGATTTGGCCACTGAGTGCGATGGTCCACGATCCAAAAGAGCCCAAGATGAAACTGAGTCTAAGGGTGGCCTTTTTGGAAAAGAGGACTAGTCCCTTTGTACTGGGTGGCGGAAGGAGAGAGGCAGCTGGAGTAAAAAAAAAATAATAATTTTTCCAAAGTCCTATTCTCTTTTCCTCTCTTTTTCCTGTTGAGCAGGCTGTTGGGAGAAAAAAAAATCTGGCAGAGATTTGAAACAATCACTTTAGTTCACAACCATCCCTACAAGACAATGTAAAACACCCAAAGAGGATTCCTTCTGTAAGCAAACACCTGCTACAGAAAACAGATTCTTATTAGGACATTAGCAAGGGAAGAAAGAGTTCGTCTCCCCCTCCCTGTGTCTGCTCTGAAACTAGTAATTAAGCCCCCTCTCCACTGTTAAGTTCAAACAGTTCCAGATTCTATCCAAACAGAGAGTGCTATCAAAATGGTATTGCTATGATAAGCCAGGCAGCAAACCAGCAGCAAAAGCTTTAGTAACTTCACCTAGTAACAAGGATAACAAAATAACTTGTTGCCCTTCAGATGCTGCCAGACTGCAGTGCCCATCAGCCTCAACAACACGGCTAGTGGCAAAGGCTGATGGAAGTTGCAGTCCAATAACAGTGGATGGATGAGACTTATTCCCACCCTTGATTTAGGAAATATAAGAAACAATTAAGAATGAAGGCTGCTCTTTTGTCTCCTACAGCCTGAGTGTTGAGCTAAGCCACATCAGCCTTTGCTGACACTGGGGAGGATAGCAGTTGTAGTCCAAAAACTTCTAGAAGGTGCCAGAACAGGGAAGGCTATGACATTGGGGTGCACCAAAGCAGATACCCTGCTCACTCTTGGGAAGTGATTCCTAAATTTAGGTGTCCATACAATATTCTGTTGGACTATAATTCTCAGAATCCTTGATCACTGGCTTCTAGGAAGTGAGTTATAAAACCTCTGGGAAACAGTGCATTTCATTCAAAGCTATGCAATGAGTTCTGTTATCAAGGAAAGATTTCAGCTCCTTCAGTGGACATGCTAAGAACAGTATGGAGTGAGGAATTGACAAGACAGACCTGTCATTGTGTATAGCAGACATACTAAGGCAAATGTGGTTGCTGAGTTTTAAATTGTTGGTTTAAATTCTCCTTTTGATACACAGTAAAAGTACGGAAACTCACAGAGGAGAATAGCTTCAAGTTTCCCAGATAGTCCACCCCTTTATCATTCATTGGAACTTACAGTCGCAATGACTCACACTGAGATATTAGTAGTAGAAAGAATAAAAATGCTCTGTTACTTACAGATGTGAGCAGATCACAGCAAAGGACCAAACTGACTTTGACAGACAAGAGAGAGGGAAAGAGAACTCTTAGGAGAGAGATGGGGCTCTCTTTGGATTTAAAGGCAGGAGGGAATGATTGGTCAGTCCTGGATAGATTGACAGTCACCCCAACCAACAGAGTTACAGGAGCCATAGACCTGGGCATCTGAGGTGTACACAGGTTGGGAAAGGCTGTACTTTTCAAGTTATATACAAGAGGAAGCTACGTATCTGAGGGAGTCTTACCGCCCAAGAATAACGGGTGCAGTTGCCATGTTCCCGGACCACTTCACCTTCAAAGGGCCCAAAGAGGCAGCCACGAGGCAGGGCTGGAAGAGTGCTCCAGACGCCAAGGCCTCCTTCGGGACGCTCCTTGACCACCAGCCCGTCAGGCAGAGATAGCAATGCCCGGGAGAGGATCCTCTCTGGTACAGGGGAGTCAGCGATGAAGGTAGGAGCTCCATGTTGTGGGCAGGATTCCCGGAAATAAAGGCGCAGTCTTCACAGACTGTTGGGGGTGGGGAGAAAGAAGAGAAATGTGTACAAATTTCTTGCCAAAACCCAAAACCTTGTGAATCATCAAACAATTCCTCAAAGTTGTTGTGAGGACAAAACAGGGTGAAGACTCGTGCTTGTTGGAGAAAGGGCAGCATATGAATGAATGGAGAGATAAATCAGAAACACATCCACAACTTTAACCCACACTCATTTATTTATGTTTAGTAATAATTGGAACTGCAACAGAAGGTGTCTATCTCTGGACTAGATCAGATGGAAAGCTCTTTAATCTCTCTAGATTGAGAGCGAGGACCAAAGTCCAACTGAAATGCATGCGGGACTTCCTCTTCACAGATGATGCAGCCATTGTTGCCCATTCTGCTGAAGACCTCCAACAACTCATGAATCGTTTTAACAAGGCCTGCCAAGACTTTGGACTAACAATCAGCCTGAAGAAAACACAAGTCATGGGCCAGGACGCGGACTCACCTCCCTCTATTACCATCTCCACGCAAGAATTGGAGGTTGTTCATTACTCTGTGTACCTTGGCTCAACGATCTCTGACACACTCTCTCAAGATGTCGAGCAGGATAAATGCATTGGCAAAGCAGCTACAGTACCATGTTCTCTAGCCTCACAAAGAGAGTATGGCTCAATAAGAAGCTTATGACATATACCAAGATCCAGGTCTATAGAGCCTGGGTCCTGAGCACACTCCTGTACTGCAGTGAGTCCTGGACCCTTTATGCACGACAGGAGAAGAAGCTGCAAACCTTCCATATGTGTTGCCTCCGATGCATTTTTGGTACTACCTGGCAGGACAAAGTTCCAAATAGAGTAGTCCTAGAACAAGCTGGAATTATTAGCATGTATACATTACTGAAACAGCGACGTCTTCATTGGCTTGGGCATATCGTGAGAATGGCTGACGGCTAAACTCCAAAAGATCTCTTGTATGGACAATTAGTGCAGGGAAATCGCCCCAGAGGGAGACCACAGCTGCCATACAAGGATATCTGCAAGCAGGATCTGAAGGTCTTAGGAATGGACCTCAACAGATGGGAAACCTTGACATCTGAGCATTCAGGCTGGAGGCAGGCGGTGCAGCACGGCCTCTCCCAATTTGAAGAGACCCTTGTCCAGTAGGCTGAGGCAAAGAGGCAGTCACGAAAGCAACAAAATCAGGGAGCTGGACAGGGGACAGATTGTATTTGTCCTCAGTGTGGAAGGGATTGCCACTCTCGAATTGGCCTTATCAGCCACACTAGATACTGTTCCAAGTCCTCCCTACAGAGCACGTTACTATAGTCTTTCGACACTGCAGGATGCCTAACCTATAGCCGAATATTTATCAACTTCATATCCAAAGGAAATATATTAATCACTGCCTTTGCCTGCTGCGTAGCTCAGAGAATTAGGTACCCTGTTTTCCCAAAAATAAGACCTAACCTGAAAATAAGCCCTAGCATGATTTTTCAGGCTGCTTGTAATATAAGCTGTACCCCAAAAATAAGCCCTAGTTAAGTGAAACCCCGCCCTCCACCATTGTGCAGCAACCAGAAGATGACATGACTGTAAAATAAAACATCTTCTGAAAATAAGTCCTGGTGGGGTTTTTTTGAGCAAAAATTAATATAAGACCCTGTCTTATTTTCGGGGGAACATGTTACCTGGTTCCAGAGCCTCAGGTTGGTTGTTCAATCCCCCAGTGTGCCTTTCAGGGAAGAGCCAGCCTGTACAGCTTTAGGAAACTACACAGTCCCAAAGTACTCCCCGAAGAAAGGAACAGTAAACCGCTTCTGAGAAGAGTAAGACCACGGTATCCGCAGGGGATTGGTTCAAAGCCCAGCCCGCAGATGCTGGAAAACTGCAGAAGTATTGAACAATATCCATTGCATAGTCTCTGACTCCCTCCAGTGGCCACGTCTGGTAAATACACCCTGGTGCGTGTGTTCTGTGCTACTGAGTCAAACCCAACTTATAGAGACGCTATTAAGTTTTTCAAGGTAAGTGAGATATTTAAGGAGAGTTCTTTACCACTTCCACACCCGCAGTGAATTTCCACGGCTGAGCAGGAATTCGAACCCTGTCTGCCAAAGTCCTAGTCCATCCCTCTATCTGCTACACCACACCGGGAATCCTAATACACTCAGGAACTACATATAAATAGGGTTTTTTGGGTGGTGGTGTTATTTAGTATTTTCAGCCAATGGATAAGTGAATCAGCAGATACTGACCCTGCAAATAGAGGGTCCTACTCTACACTATCCTTACAAAACTCTGAAAAGGGTCACCGTAGGTCAGAATTGATTTGAAGGCATGTAATTTACTATTATCATTATTTGGAAGTTGAGTCCTGGCAACTGGACTTCTTTCTTATTAGGTTGAAATGTTTCGCAACTCATCCCAGTAATCTTCAGTCTAATAAGATGTTTCAACATAATAACAAAGAAGTCCAGTTGCCATGACTCAACTTCCAGATAGTCTTAACTGGACTGAGAATCTTCACAGATATTATTTGTCTGCACCAGTGATTTCCAACTTGTGAGTTTCCACATATTGTTGCACAGCCATTCCCAAAACCCCACAACTCAGAACATACTGTCTGGAGCTTCTGTAACAAAATGTAAGCATCCAAAGGAACCACCGATCTAGGGTATAGACAGAAAGGACTGGGCCATTGTGATTCCTATCAAGGATGCCTTAAACCAGGGGTCTCAAACATGCGGCCCGGGGGCCATTTGTGGCCCATTTGTGGCCCCCCACCATGCCTGGCCCCCCGAAGCACCCACGCATCCTCTGCTGTCAAGAGTAAAAAAAAAAGCCTCGCCTCGCTCACTGGCTCTCTCCCAAGACAGCACCTCTTGCACCCTCTATCCGGAACTGCAGCCTGCTAGCCAGCCTGCCTGTCTGCTGGCTGGCAGGGTGCAGTTCAGGATAGAGGGTGCAAGAGGCGCTGTCTTGGGGGAGACCTGGCGAACGAGGTGCGCTGACAGCCCTTTTCCCCAGTGCCTGAGCCGCCGCCGAGCGATGCCTGAGAGTGGAGCTCACTCCCGGCCCGTCCTTGAAGAGCACCTCCAAGCCATCAAAAGCAGCTACTGCCGCCTCTTCCAGGGAAGCAGCTCTCTGTCTCTCTCTCTCTCTCTCGGCACCCCCAGCGCCAGCTCGGTCTCGGCACCCCCAGTGCCAGCCCGGCCAGCAGCCACTTCAGCACCTGGTGGTGCTTCCACCTCCTCTTCATCCTGCTTCAGCTACCTCAGCTCTGGAGGCTACCTGGGCTTGCCTTGCAAAGTTTGCTCCTCTGTCGTGGTGGTGGTAGCTGCTGCTGACTGCGCCTTTTTTTGAGGGGGGCCTCAGAGGAAGGTTGTCAGACCTCCGTGTGTGTGTGTGTGTTTGTGTGTGTGTGCTCACATGCGCACCTGTGGGCCCCCCTGCCCCATTCTGTTTAATTTTGCGCATACTAGTGGGGGCTTTTATCCTTTGGCAAGGCGAATTCTGTGAGGTTTTAAAAAAAATTTATGTCGCGCCCTCCTCCCCCCAGCTAGGCGGTCGCCGGCGCTTCCTCCCTTCTCTGCTGCTGGTGGTAGTGAAGAAGGAGCCAGAGGGGGTCGTGGCCGGCGACTAGGGCTCTCGCGCCCCCCCTCCTCAGAGCCCCAGACGGGCTAAGGAAACTCCCAGGCGGCTTCCCTGGGCTCTTGCTCTGCTTGGCAGAAAATCTGATGCGGCCCAGCCTCATCCAGACTCTGCCTCCAGCAGCCCCCAGGTAAACTGAGTTTGAGACCCTTACTGCTAAATTGAGTTTGAGACCCCTGCCTTAAATTCTTACTGATAGGGACACTTTGTGTCCATTCAACTATCCTCCTTCTGTAGGCAGACTGATTTAAGCACCCACATTAATGGGGAGAAACTTCTTGAGTATTGGATGCACACATTTGTTCCATAACACATACTGGAGATGATGCAAAGCCAGACTCGAAAAGTGCCATTCAACTGATCACTTGTGGTGAGTGAGAAACATGATCAGTCAGGAAAGTCTTATATAGCTTTGTGGTTCCTCTCTCACTCTGAGATTAAATAACCGGTGCCAGCATAGTTGGTAGTGGACTAGTAACTTTGAAGGTTTATTTGCAGAAGAAAAGCGACTGCCTACATTGGGGTAGAATAGATGGAGCACAAACAGTTTACTTTTACTTACAGAGCAACTCGTCCTCTGAATGGGTGCAGGCATCCTCTGCTACTTGCATGGTGTTGTGAAAACTGGAGAGCCTGCAGAGGAGTAAAGAGGAAGGGCTGAGGCGTGTTTCTTGGCACAGGGCTCATTTCCTGATGGCCCACCATCACAATGGAGCTCCCCTTTCTCTTCCCATTAAAACTACCTGTAGTTTCCACTTCTGCCCCTCCTCCAGAATAACGCTGACCGGAAACCCAACCTCTCCTTGACTGCACGCCCACTCTCAACCCAATCTGCAAGCCAGACCTCCGTCTGACCTCCCACTACATAAGGAAGCCTTCTCATTTTAATGATCTTTTCCAATTTCTAACCCAGGGTTGCCGGGCATCCTGGCAGGTCTGCCCATGAAAAAAAATGGTTCCCACAAACTGCTTACACCACACACACACACACAGAGAGAGAGAGAGAGAGAGAGAGAGAGAGGGAGAATCCAGAAATAGCTAGCAATGGGAAAGCTGGTTCCCACAAACTGCTTCTCCCTCCCTCCATCCCTCCCCCCTCTCTCACACACACAGAGAGAGGGGGGGGAGAAAGAGGGAGAGAGAGAATGAATCCAGAAATGGCTAGCAATCCTCTTCAAGTCTTGGAAAAAAAGGGGGAATTTAAATAAATGGTGACATTTGAAATCTGGCTTGCCACTCTTGGGAGGCTTCTAAGAGCTGTCATTCAGCTTTTTTCAGCCAAAGGAGAGGAAACTAGGAGAAGGCTGCAAAAACATCACCCACCACTGTTCTCACCCAGTCGTGATGTCTATGTCACACTCTGACCTCCCTACTACGTAGTACACTCCTTTCAAGTCATCTCCAACTCGGACTGTCACAAATTCTACACTGCTCCATTCATGAAGGACCAGCTCAGGACCATTTTTTTTTTTGCTCCATTCATGAAGGACCAGCTCAGGACATTTTTTTCCAGCCTCAGGCAAGCAACAAACTGGACTGGGGATTGAACCTGGCTCTCACACACCCCTCTAATCCCAGGGTCCAAAGAGAGACTGTGCCCATGCCGATCCAAACACCCCACCCGCCTATCCCCCTTCACCTCCTCTTCCGAATCAAACATTCTGAATTGGATCAGCCAACACCATGATCCCCATTCATTGATCCTACATACACACCTACTGCCTTTCTCTCAGGGAAACGCTATTTCCCCAAACCAGCTTTCTTCTCACTCTGATGACCTCCCACCACCAAAATCGTGGTGATGAGATCCCAGAGTCAGGCTGGGGATAAACTATTTTTTTTCCTAGTCCATCTCACCCCCCACCCCGTAGGAGACCAGCCTCCCAAAGCAACGCTGACCCCCCCTTGTCTCCCCCCCATCAAAGACCTCCC